CGGGCGATTCATATATATATATATATATCTGTATATATATGTTTTGATTATCTATTTTTTTGCTGCCATTTATCACTATCATTTTCCTCCTCCTCCTCCTCCTCCAGATTTTGACCTATGATTTCCTTTTGATAATATCACAGGGGGAGAAATTATATGATGTTATGCATTATGGTATTATTTTCAAATTATGGTATTATTTGAAAACTAATCTGATGATTATATATTTATAGTTTGATATTTTAGTTTCATATCATGTCTCTAATTAAAACTTATTTATTATACATGTGCTAACCTATGTATTTAGAAATGCATTCAGGAAGCATGACTTGAGGGGAAACCTTTCTTACTCCCAAATCAAATCAAAACATCATTGTGTGCTATCATCAAAAAGGGAGAGATTGCTAGACTTATTTATTTTGATGATTTATTTAATTATGTTTTAATTTATTTGAAAGAGAAAAATAGAATCCAAAATTTATTTTGATGATTTATTTAATTATATTTTAATCAAAATTTATTTTGATGATTTACTTGAAAGAGAAAAAATAGAATTAAAATTTATTTTGATGATTTATTTGAAAGTGAAAAATAGAATCAAAATTTATTTTGTCCCATTATTTCTCACCTAAACATTTATCCTAAATATTGTTAGAATGTATTTAATATTTGATTAAATCAGAAGTTCAAACAGCCCAAAACAAAGGTTCAAAACAACCTAGCACAGCAGCAGGCCAAAAGGTTCAAAAGGTTCAACTGGAAGATATTCGAATTAGTAATGATGGAAGTACAACGGCTATAAACGGCTATAAAGGTTCAAAAGGCCAAAGGTTCAAAAGGTTCAAGTGGAAGATATTCAAATTTGTAATGATGGAGTGAAAGATATTCAAATTGGTAATGATAGAAGTACAACGGCTATAAATTTAAATGACTACAACGGCTATAAATGGTTATAAATTCAAATGAATACAACGGCTATAAACGGCTATAGTTTTCATTATATATACCAAAACCTCTAATGTAAACAAGTGAAAACCTCTAATGTAAACAAGTGACAATAAAACCTAAAAATATTTTTTGATCTATAATCACTCACATCTTTTTTCAGAAATTATACACTGAGCCTTATAGCTTTATGCCCATCTTTCTTGTGTGAGATTTATAAAAAAATCAAAGTTTCATTTTATATATCTTTCTTTGAGAGATATTTATTGTAAGCTTTCTTTGAAAGCAAAAATACCATTTCATCTTGTAAAAGTGTTACAAACACTTTGTTCTTGAAATCTTGAGAGTGATTGTGAATCACCTAAGATTTGCAAGGGTTTGGGCTTGTGAAATCTGTGTAAAATCCGTGGAGGATTACTCCATTTGTAAAAAGGTTGCTAGCACCCCTGTGAAGCTAGAAGATAGTGGAAAGTCTCAAGTGAAGCTTGAGGAGTGGATGTAGGCTTGGTTGAAGCCGAACCACTATAAATCTGTTTGTCTCATCTTCCATAATCTCTTTACTTTCATACTATTGTTATAGCTATCTAATATTCACGTGTTAATCATTTGATTTGTCATGTATGTTAGTTATACTTCATTGTTATTTTGCTTGATCATTTACTGCTAAGTTCATCATTGTGCTTGTTAATAATTTGTTATACTAGTAGTTAATTTTATTGTGGTATTATTAATTTTAAATTGTAGAAACCTAATTCACCTCACTCTTAGGTTGCTTTTTGGGTAACAACATGTATTCTTAGGACTTTATAGCCTGCTATCGGGCATGTTTCGTGTTCTCCTTAGCGAAACCTCCACCCTTAGCTACCTAACCACAAGCTCCCCAGCTTCCTAAGGCGAAGGTCACAACCAAGTTTGCTATCAGCCATGCTGTAATACCAAGCCCGATGGGACTTCCTTAGTCCTGCCTATACGACTAAGGTAGGTCCACGACCTGGGTAATGGAAAGGAAGTTCCTTACATTCGAGCTACCTTGCTTGTAAGGTCCCGGTGTCCCACACCAGGAATGGATGAGGAGTTCTTGGGCTATAAAAGTAAAAACCTGGACCCTTACATAGCATTAAGGCCTTTTCCCGGGTGGTGAAATCCCTAGCAGAACTCCTCAGTTAAGCGTGCTTAGGCTGGAGTAGTTCTAAGATAGGTAACCCACTGGGAAGAACAGATCCATGCGGGCGTGGCCCAAAGCGGACAATATCGATGACATGTGAAAGGTTAGGACGTTATAAATGGTATTAGAGCCGTCTCTTTAGGGTACCGAATGTGGGCCCCTAGCATCTCTCGGTGTATGTGGGCAGGCTTATGAGCTGGTAAGCTACTGCACGGGGATGTACAGCCATAAGGGGGGTGGATTGTAAAGTCCCGGTAGACACCGGAAATGGATGATCAGTTCCTGGGCTATAAAAGTAAAAACCTAGACCCTTACATAGCATCGAGGCCTTTTCCCTGGTGGTGAAATCCCTAGTAGAACTCCTCAATTGAGCGTGCTTAGGTTGGAGTAGTTCTGGGATGTGTGACCCACTAGGAAGAACAAATCCGTGCGGGCGTGGCCTAAAGCAGACAATATCGATAACATATGAAAGGTTAGGGCGTTACATTGCTCCCATTTTCGCGAGGTTGCTACGGTATACTGGTTTACCGTTGGGCTTGCTATCAGTTCTAACCAGTGAGATATGAGATTTGCTATTAGTCCTAGGCCTGCTATCAGCTTTTACTTGTGGAGAAGAAACTTCTTCCAAAGGCTACTATCACCTTGGTGAGGGTGCCTCCCTTCGCAAGTTAGTTACGGCGGTTGTTGTAGTTTCGACAGCTACAGTTGCTGCAACAGTCATTTTCCGAGGCAAGTTCAAATGGCAATCCCGATAATATTAGGGATGGCAACGCTGACAAAGTATCTCTGCAACTTGGTTGCTACAAGTGTTGCCTTTGTAACTTAGTTGCTTCGGTTTTCTCTTGCAACTTCAGATGGCAGCAGAACCGACAATATTGGAAATGGCGGCGTTGATACAAAGTACCTCAACAACTTGACCGCTGCAAGTGTTGCCTCTGCAACTTAGTTACTTCGAACTTTTTCCTCTTTTCCTCAACAACTTTAGATTGTCTCTGCAACTTCGCTTAGACATTTTTCTTCATGGAGTCTATTCGGATCTTTGGCGGGTTTGACCTGGTTCGACCCATTTGTTGGCCCACTTCCCTTGGGCTTTAGCCCATGCTCTTTTAGTTATTCTTGGTTGCCTTAAAAGGGTAACCTCAGCACTTAGGCCCATACTTAATTTGGACCTTAATTTCTAACCCTCGACAGTTTTTAAGAGAGTAATTGTTGGGTTTTATTTTAGAGATGGCTGACGGTTATGGTGGTCCATGCAGCTGCTGCATTTTTAAGGTGTGGTTACCATTGGATGGTGGCCTTAACTTGTTGGAAGGAAGTGAGAAGAAGAGAAGCAGAAGTGGGGAGAACGAGTTTGTTGCTGTACAAAGAGGGGGTAAAAGTGTCATTACAAACATTTCAAGATCTATATACACTTAGGGTGATTTGGAAAGTTGGTTGAAATATGATTTTTTGGCTTTTTTTGATTTTTTTTGTCCTTTTGTATGTAAAAAATGTGAGAGGTGATGTAACTCAAAATGAGTTAAAAGCTAAAAACTAGTTTTTTTTTGGCTTCCCAAAAATAGTTAAAATGGTTATTTGGACTAAAATAGTTAATATATTCAAAATAGGTTAAAATGGTCAATAAGAAAAAATATCATATTTAACCCATAATCATTTTACTTTTTTCCTTACAACCATCAAATCAATTATAAAAAAATAATAATCTTTTTAAATATAACATTTTAATGAAATTAAAAAAATTAACTTTTCAAATAAGACCTTCAATGCGTACAATTAACTTAACCAGAATCCGTTACTTTGACATTTTACTCCAAATCACAAAAGGCCATGGGTATGTTTTTAAACTCAAAGACGTAAAAGTATTTTTGAACAAAACTGTAAAATATAAGGACATGTTTGGTAATTATTTTATTTTCAGTTTTTAGTTTATATTTACAAAAATTTAAAAAATTGTCATAAAAATTTATTTAATAATTTTTTTAGTTTATAAATAGTTGTCTCAATTTATAAATTTGAGAAAAAAAACGTAAACTCAAAAAATGAGTTTATGTTGATTTTTAAACAAAAAATTAAAAATTTGATTAACAATTTTTTTTTCAATTAATTTTTTTCCAAATAATTCTTTTTTTTAATTAATTTTTTTTCTAATTATAATTTGTATGATCCTATTGTCATAAACAATAAAAAATAAATATAAATATTTTAAGTAAAAACAAACATATTTTTTAATTTATATTTTTAAAAATTTTCAAATATTTTATTCAAATTAAATGTATTTATAATTTATATTTTTTTAAAAATAAACAAAAATCAATTTATAAAATTTTTATAAACATAAACTAACAAGGTAAACTTTATCACAGTGCTATCTCATTAGCTCAATTTTTTTTTTTTTAAGTCCCTACTCTACTCTCTGCCTTGGATGGCAATTGGAATCCGACCCAGGGGACCTGACCCCCGATTGATTAAAATAGTTATTTCCCGAAAAAATTCCCGTGAAAACGGGATGGTATTTTAATATCAAATTCCTGATCAATTTCGGGGGGGTATGGTGATTGTTTCCCCAACCCCGCCCCTGCCCCGCCCCGAAACTCTCTCGAAATTTCCCTGCATGTATATGCATATGTATCAGGGCTGGATATAGGGTTATCCGACCCGTCCAAACCGTCCTATCCAATCTGATCCGCACATATATGAGCAGTCTCGCAAATACATTAAGATAGGGTGCGGTTTAAATTTTAGCTGATTTTCCGATTGCGGGCGGGTTGCGGGTTTGAACTGCACCCGTCCAACCCGCCTGCATTAACAAATTTTTTTTTTTTTTTTTCTTTTTATAAAATATTTCAAATTTGGATCGTCCTTTTTTTTGGGCGAATAATCTCGACTTTTCATCTTCATCTTCATCTTCATCTACACCCAAACAAACAAAAACCCTAATGAATCTAATCTTTCAAACTCAAAACACAGCGCAGCTCTCACTCTCTCTCATCTCATCAGTCTCTCTCTCGTTTTTCATCTGGACCGATCAACCTCGCAAGAGATCGACTTTCTCTCATCGCAAGATCGACCGATCGACCTCCCTCTCTCATCGCACCAATCGACCTCGTAGGATCGAATCTTTCTCCAGCAACTCTTATGTATGCGTCTCTCTCTCTCTCTTTACCTGATCTCTGATTTTTTGTGGGCATTCAGATCTATGTCTCTCTGACTTTGTTTTTTTTGTTCATCAAATGAATCAATGGCTATTGTGTAAATTCTTGATCTGGGAAGAAAAGAGGTTCTGAAGTGTTGTTAGGTCTATAAAAACATGAATCTTGAGATTGTGATTTTCATACACTGTAAAAACATGAATCCTCTGATACTGGTTAGTGTATTTGCTCTTTTCTTGTGGTTTCTGGGTAACCAAACAGACCATGGATAAGTTTGGGAGATGTTATTTTATTGGTCAGTAAAAGGGTGCTGAAGAAGTAATGTCATTTTTATTAGTTTCCTGAAAATGATGGCGCATGCTTGTTATTCAAAACCAACTAAAAATAAATATAGAAATAAATGAAAAAAAAAAAATTTTGGCCTTTATTTTCTTTTGTTTATTATCTTTAGATTTTGCTTTTGCCTACAATTTGAGTCCAATTTGTTTCTAAATGTGTTTACTTTTTCCTTATCTATTATTTGGTGGAAAGCCTGAGGGAATTTGATTTGTTCCCTTGCTTTGTTTGATTTCAGAAAACAGATTGGGAAAAGAAATTGAAAATTCGAATTTAAGATTTCCTCATTATTGAAGACCTTAGAAAACCTCAATCCTCTCTCAAATAACTCTAATGGTAATCTTTTATATAGCTAAGTATTTTAACAGAACATAACTAAATAGAACCTATAATGCAAAATTTCCTTTCCACTTATTCTCTCTAATTTCCACAAAGAGATTATGAAACTGATTTTGTGTGTGTGCGCATTTATTTTTATTTTTCTAATTTTTTAAAAGTATTTCCTTGACCAACTTCAATCCAAGACAGTGAAACATCAGCCTAGGATCATCAACTCGCAGGTAAAGACTCTCTCTTTGAAGGAAAAAATTCAAACCGCAAACCGCTTGCAACCGCCCGCACATTCGCAAACCCTACCCGCACAAACTGCAAACCACACTGCGGGCGGTTGCGGTTTGACTTTTCTCCAAACCGCATAGGTGCGGGTGGGTCAAAACCCAACCGCAAACTGTACAAATCCAATCCGTGAACACCCCTAATATGTGTTTAGGTTATATGAATATTATATTTGGTTATATTAATATTATATCTATCTATGTCTTTAAGTTATATTAATATTATATCTATCATTCTAATCTATATCAGTGCTCTCTCTCTCTCTCTCATTCTCATTCTCTCTCACTCTCGTTTCAGATTCTCTGAATTTGAAACTGTCTCCTCTCTCTTGTCTCTTCAATCTCCCTCGTTTACCGATCGCCCTTATCTCCCTTCTCCGCCGATTCAGCCACCACAACTCCACCACTGTTTGTGTAACAACCAAGCCCAACACATACTAAAACTCAAACAAAAGAGTTTAAAGGTTGACAACACGATAGGTACAACTACCAACTCCACGGAACCGCGTCCGGAAAACAATAAAACAGGAAAGGGATAACCGGGATTGCTATACCATATAGGGTGAGCCACAGCCCAATAGAAACATACTAAG